CTTATGGTTTCACATGCCGCGTTAAACAAAGCTCTCCTCTCCCTGCAGGGGTCAGAGGCATCCTTTATACAGCCTTTCATCAGAGGTAAAAGAAGTACTCGCACTTAAAACAAATACTTTTCACATTTTACTTAAGTAAAAATATTTAAATGAAATGTGCAAAAAGTGCTTAAAATATGAAAGTAAATCGTTAGATATCAGGATATGTTTTTATTTACTTTATGGAAGATGAGCAGTCTAGACATGATTATATAAATTTTATATATTGCAGCCGCTAAATTAATCATATAACAATCTTTCCTTCGACTGCTACCTTTAAGGGTCATCATCTGCTGCCATCCCAACCTTTCCCTATCTTCTTCCTCTGTCACGTCACAGCATGACCTCCTTCAGTACATCCATGAATCTTCTCTGTGGTCTTTATCCCATTTTCTCCTGCCTGGAAGCTCCATGTTTCAGCATCCTTTGCCCAGTATAGCTAATATTCCGCTTCTGCACATGTCCAAACTATCTCAGCCTTGACTCTCTAATTTTTCTCCAAAGTGCTCGACCTCAGCTCTGACATACTCATTTTAAATCCTGGCCATTCTGGTCACTCCCTAAGCATCATCAGCTCTGCCAACTCCAACTTGGCTTCGTGACTTTTTGTTGTTGTTGTTGTTTTTTTGTTTTCCAGCCTTTCCTGTCCAGCAGCTTTATAACATTGAATCACAGTGTTGAATGCATTGTTGTGTCAAACACATTAGCTTTGCCATGAGAAGTTCTATAAACTCTCTATAGGCTTGTCTTGTTAGTCAGTTTCTTTCTATTATTTTTATATATTATTAATATATAGTGTAAGTGTAACACTACCAAAGCTGACAGACAGCGAGGGCCTCCTGTTTGTTGTTTGTGTCACTGTATCCAAACCATAGATCACACCCGATCTCAGAAACATAAATTAACTAACAGTAAAACAAGCTATTATTATTCCATGGGCGGCTGTGATTCAGGTGGTAGAGCAGTCATCTACCAATCAGAACATCAGTAGATCACCCCCCTGTCCATGTGTCAAAGTATCCCTGGGCAATGCTGAACACTGAGTTCCCCCAGATGCCTCCATCAAAATGTAAACGTTAGTCAAAGCGCTTAGGCATACGTAAAAGTGCTGTATGAATGCACTCTGTGTTAAAAACACACTTTTCTAAACTTACATTGCAAAGTTCAATACATGGGAAAATACTATTGCATCTAAACTTACTGTAAAGCAATACAGTGACTGATTATTATCTCAGTACACAAGCAGCAAAGCAAGCTTGTTGAAGAAAAAGGGGCCCGTGCAATAAAAGCTATTTAAAATAAAAGAGAAAATACACAACAGTAGCAAAGATCAAGTGAAATCAAGTGAAACCAGGAAATGTTCTGATTGATGTGCATCTTAAGAAAACATTTAAAAGAGGTCGCCAACAGTGCTGACCTCATTTCAGGATCAGATAAGTGTCCTCTGCCCGAGGACCTCAACTACAAACACGCCATTATACAGCTGTGTTATGTTACATATATAACAGATCTTAGAAGTCACTAAATCCTAAAATCAGTTCTAAAACAAGCTATTTGTTATATTTTTGAACTTTGTTTCATCATTTTAGGTTTTTAAAGTAATAATTTCCTGTGATCTGAGAAAGCGGAGCGGAAAATAAAACACATTATTTCCTTCTTAAATACGCGCAAGTCCAAAGCAGATATTGACACAAAATCAAGTAACACACAAAAATTTATTTATAAAGCACATTTAAAACCAAAGTGCTTTACAGTGAAAAGAAAGCGAAAAAAAGAAAGACTTCCTCTCGAAACGTTCACACTATCTGCACAAAATAACAAAAAGCGCCCCTTCATCTGCGGTCCTAAAGATCAACAGTTGCTGAATACGTGATGAAAGTACAAACACCTTAAAAGTAAATAAATCTGCTCAGTTGCTTTATTTTACTGACGAGTGTCTGTGTCATTTTTCATAAACAGCAGAAAACGTGAGCTGTAAAGGCAGCTGATTTTTTACAAGATTTTAGGATCACGCAGAACAATAAAAAGTTCTTTACACACAATATATCCAAATAACTGTTCTTACTTTATGTTTCTTTATAGACTATATATCTTTAAATTGTTATCAATAATCAGTTATTATAATTGTCTATATTTACCTATATAAATTATTTGTTCCCATTAAAACTATTACATCTTACAGACTGCATTGCATGCTTCACTTATTTTCTACTTTGTAGCAAACATAAAATAACCCTTGCTTCTCAGATTCATTTGTGCATGTTGTATCGGGGTAGTATTACATTTACACAGGATACAGCAGAGCAAAACACACAGAGAACTGTTTATTTAAAAATATAACTATGTGCTGATTCGCAAACACCATAAAAACCAAATAATGCTAAAATGCATTAAACAGCAAGCAGTTAAATAAGTGTTTACAAATGGCTAAAAATACAAATACTGAGATTTTTTGAAAGTTTAAATTTCAGGAAAGTTTGAGGAATTCTGTCAGCTTGTCTGCTCAAGGATCCGGGGAGCAAAAGTCTCTGTGTTATCGTAAAAATTTGGAGACATAAAATCAAACTAAGAGTCGATGACAAGCACTGGAGTCCAGCGGCACCGAGCTCACACCTGTATTATATTTCTCCTAGAATTTTCTTTTTAAAAAATTATTAATGTTCAGAATTATAGTTTGTATCTCATTAAAAAAAACAACTACTGTACGTTTACCTTTTTGCAAAAATCAAAGACAGCTTACAAACACACTTTTTTCTTTTTTTACTGAATACAGATGTGGCCGCTACTTTCATATGATCCAGGAGTAAACATGGAATGCAACTTGTGACTGTTCAAAAAGTAAAGTAATACATACAAGTTATACTTGGGCAGCAGTGCATGACAAATACAGGCTTTCACAGTCGTTGTTTGTTGCATGCTGAGGAGCATATGACACTGACAGGAAAGTTAAATGTAGGTCGTTCGCGGGTTTCCATCTGTCACTAAAATTCAGTCTCCCTGTTTCAGCAGTACGGTGGGCTGCAGAGAAAAACAATGAAGATCATTATTATTATTATTATTATTATTATTATTATTATTATTTATAAAATATCTTGTTTTCACTACAACTATCTTGGAGTATGTAAAAATTAAAGACATACCAAAGTGTTGAAATGTTCTCTGCACACAGCTTTGCTCAACCAGTAGATCAAGAATATGGCTATCAAATTTTCAACAACCAGCAGGGTCATTATCAGCACGCTGATTCCTTGAGCCACCTGTAAAGCAAATCAAAAGCAGGTCGAAGTAGTTCAACTTAACTTGGAATTAAAAAGAAAAAGCAAACCAAACAAAACGAGAGTGACTGTAAGCTGCAGCTTACCTTGGCATCGGTAGGATGATAAGGAAAGAAGACCAAGGCGAGAGAAAATGCTGCAACTGACCAGAAGAAGCTGATTATGTTCAGAGAGAACGACAGCTTTGTCTGAAAGATTAGAAAACACATTTCATTAAAAGCATCAACCTCACCAGTGCTAACAATGTGGGTTTAGCATGTTCCCCATTTAGGACAACAGTCTGAGGTCGAAAGAAGAACTTTTTAAAGAAGCTCTCCGTTCAGGTTCAAGTGAATGTTACATATCTATAACTGAACGCATCTGTGTAAAACCATAAAAACTGTTTCCTGACATAATGAAGTAATGATAATTAATACATGCATAATATTTTATATTAATAATAATAATATTTTTTCCCCTGACCAAGGCAATAGTCACTGTTATGTCATAATCCTTATGCCAAATTGCTGTAATCAGCAGAAATTTTCTTTTCTATGAAAAGTAATTTCACATGAAAACAAAACCTTAATTTTAAATCAAATTACTCACCACATGCATGTTCGGAAATTTTCCTGCAGCAAAGGACAGCATACCACAGACCACAAACTGCAATAATAATACACATAAATTGTTGAAAGCATGAAAATAATTCTTTCCAAATAACGAAACGTTTTAGCAATTTGCTTAAACCCCCCCAAAACAAAGCATTTTTGTTTGTTTTTACCAGAATACTCGGTAGAGTGTAGAGGAACACGGTTGGACTGTTTTTTTGAACCAGTCCAAGTGTGAAAAGAAACACACCAGCGATGGCTTGAGCTGCCTGATAAAAAAGAGAAATTATACTAATATGCAGAAAATAGTGTGCATAATGTATAAACAAGCAGGGAATTATTTGGATAAAATGCAAATTATTTCTTTACACTTATTTAATGCACGGCCGGTTTAAACTTACTCCCATAGGTGTAGGTTTCCCCTTAATAACAAAGACCTTGTAGGAGTCTCTGAAGACACAGTGGAATTTCTCTGGCATCAGCTGACCATCTCGGAGATCCCTGAGACTTCCAATTGGAATGGTGATGATCATCGATTCATCACATACGAATGTCTTCCTCATTCTCCTGTGAACGAGATGAAAGCTCTTTTAAGCACCTTGTAGCACTCACCAGTTGCTGAGGTGATCTCTGCAAAACACGCAATACCTTTTTTCTTCTTCTTCTCTGAAGTTGATTCAGACTTGAATTTCTCTTCTTTGGCTCTTCTTTGAGTTTGACAAGGAAATGACCTGATGCATCAGTTGTCTTTGTTTCTGAAATCCCCCCCACGCCACAAACACACATGCACACCTCCCATCCCCCTTCTTTCACACCCACAAAAGGCTTGCATGCAAACTTCGGCCAAGATTTAAAACTGACCTAACATAAAATCTAATATTTCAATGAACATTGTTTTTAAAAAATCCTTCACAAATCATGTTTAGGAATAAAAATAAAACACTTGATATAGAACATACGGTAGTGAGGCATGGAAACTTGAGGACATTATTATGGCACACTTTTTTTCAGAGGGAGGAAGTTGAAGGGCACGATGACCTCATCTGTGAGCTTCTGCAGGGAAGTTGAATTCATGCCTAAAGAGAAACACTCATGAGCGAGACAGATGCAGAGTGTGAATTAGAGACTGCTCAAGCCAAACGGGGTAAGACTCTCGATCTTCTCTACTGCACTGAAAAAAATCTTTGCTAAAATATACATATTTGCATTTGTGCACATCCATCTGTATATATTTGTAGATTTGTTAGAAAAAAATAATTTTAAAAATCATTAACGCCTATGTGGATTACAGCTGCTGTCACAATCCACTTTTTGTCGTTTTCACTCTTACTCTGCTTGATGATAACTAACATTATTTTTTGTCGTTTTTTTGGCCTGTAAATGTGTGACTCTTTAAACGGCTATAAATCTAACACATAATATCGTTCACTTTGGAATTTTCTTGCTGTCTCTTTCCAGCTTCCTTGAAATAAATAAGAAACAAATTTAGTAAAACAGTATCGTGTGTTGTATCCACCATATATGGCAAAGAAGTAGCAATAGTATATGCAACTGTCTCCTGAATGCAGCACAATAACCATAAATAATCTCCTCACGGTGTTAGAAAAAGTTCAAGGAAACCTTCGTTCTTACTTTTTAAAATCCTGCTGAAAGATTTTTTTTTCAGATAATTTAAGTATTGTGGTTGAAATAAACATTATGGCAACATTCCTTTCATATGTGTTATCATCCATCCCTTGTAGTGGACATCAGGTCTTGTTTGCTCACAGGCTGATGTGATGTAATGATATTCGTCCATTTTTCTGTGCATTTCTTTTTATTTCATTAATATTAAAACTGTTCAATCCTGGAATACTGTTATTATAACAAAGAACTCCTCATAGTCGAACGCTTTTTCCATTCTGTGCATGTAAATACTCACCTAAACCTGGGTTTAACAATGATCACGGATGGCATTACAGAGGACTGAGCGAGAAAGGATCTTACTAGGACCTGTAGAAGGGGAGTCGTACTCAGTGCTGTCAGGAGATGAGGTGGAGGAGGGCCAGATTGAAGGGTTTTGAGGGCCCTGAACAGGAGCAAAATGATGACACCCTATTATGGATAGGAAGCATTGTGTAAGTTAGGACTCGGAAGTTGTGGGATTGTGTTTCTCAGCGGCCGTACAGGACACTGACCTGTGAAGGGACTCATCCTTTGGTGGTCTCAGCGTTGTGGTCAGGACCTCTTAAGAGGGGTTGAATTATTTTCTGTCACTTTGATGGACGCCTAATCTGTCTTGACCTATATATACTACTAGGAATCACTACATTTGAGTCATGCGTGAACACAGATATGTTAAACAGTATTTTCGGTTTTAATGTTGCCTTTGGAGATGAACCCCTCTCTGGTCTGGTATGTGCTGACATTTTTTTTCTAAAACCTAGTTACCTATTTTTCGTCTGATATAATCAGCACCAGCTGTGGTTATGAGCAATGTTGTTCTGTTTTCATTTTTCATGTTAAAAATAATTCTCTGGTTGAAACTGAATTGATGAAGACAGGAGAGGTAAAGCTTAATGCACTTCTAGTATGAATTATATAAATCAAAAGCTGGTGTGTGTGAAACAAGGCTTTTCCTTCTCTAGAAATCGTAAGCCCTTTATCAAAGAATACTTCTTATGACATATCACCTCAAAACCTGGTATGTTCTCCGCCGAGCTTTCACCTTCATCCTATAATGTCTGGCCTTCCCCCACGTTGTGTCCTGACAGCTTTTGATCTGACTCTACTTCCACAATATTGAGTAAAAATCTTTCTGCCTCACTCTGCCCTCTGCTTCTTGAAGTATTGACCCAGGTTGAAAATAAATAAGAGGTAGTAAATCCTGCTGTCTAGTGCAGAGATAAATATTTTGTTTTCAAAGGGATTGAATTACTATACATTTCTAAAGTCCCACTAAATCAAAAGTAAGACTCAAATTTTATCGCTCAAACTCCTGTGTGGCTCTAAAATGTGGAAGCTGCGATTCCTGTTATTTTGAAAAGAAAGTCCGTGTGCTCTATTAGCCAGGCCTCACAAATGTGTTATCAATAGAAAGACCAGGATGTCCTCTTGACCACACAGTAGGGCTCATAGAGAGTGCATAAAGTGAATTCTCATAGTTAATCCTCTGCAGAGGACAAAAGGCAGTTACATTACAGTATTAGATTTTAAAAAATACCATGTAACTGTTCTCAAGGCCTTTGCAGTAGTTGCACCATATAAAAAAAGCACCACACAACATACACAAGTTAACAGTTAGCTAACAATGATTTAATTATGCCCCGCGACCCTGAAAAGGTTGAAAATGATGAAATAATGAAAACAATTATCTCTCCAGACCAGAAGCACCATGGCCTGCGCTGATGTTGATATGGACATCCATGATGAGGATGATCGCCACAGAGGTGGACAGAGGGAGCAGCCAGTAGTGCGTTATTATCAGGCCTCTGAGATGATACCAGACAAGAAAGGGCCACTGCACGATCTGATGCAGAAACATCCAGCTGTGTTGGGGGTAAGAGGACTCAAACAACAGTCTTTGTGAAGTGTGACTTTGTGTGATGTGCCACAGAGCGTTTGCACGCTGATGGTTGCTGATACCAGCAAAAGGAGAAAATACAATAATACAAACTACTTTGTCAACAAAGATATGAGCAGTCATTAAACCCTTTAAGCTCTCATAAATGCCCAAAATTTAATGACCTGCATAACCTCTCACATTGGATTTGTTTTGTTTTGTCTGCTATTTAAGAATATGCTTCACACTTTGTATGTTGCACATCGAGAAAAAAAAGGAAGGACCAAAGCTGATTTATTTTCTCACACCTAAATGTATGAATCCTTTTTTCAAACGTTGCATAGACATCCACAGGGGAATTTTTATTTCTTACTTTTTAATTTCATGTTTAAAAATATTTATGAGTATTCATGCAAAGCACATATGATGCGTAGACCTACCCAAAATAACAAGAGCACTCTGAGCAGATGTGGGCAGTAGCAACAGGAAATGCTCGGTGTTTTTGTTGCTTCATGTATAAAAACTGTTTCATATAACCCTTTATAATGTGCTAATTGGTAACACTAAAAAGTGTGCACAGTTGCTTTTAAAACTAAAGGATAGATAATAAAGTTCACAAACTTATTTATTTAATATTAATACCATCGACTAATTGTTCATAATCAACTGCACTTTTTTGCCTTCATTTGCTTATGTAGGCATGTTTATTAGCTCTTTAGAGTAATGACCTACAGTAACTGATTATCATGCTTAAGAACAGTTTTCCACATTAAAATTAATTAAGAATGTTCTCTTTAGGAATTTATAAATAAAAAGGGTTATTGTAAGAGGATCTGAGGTTGATCTGTCCTGTTGCTGTGTGAATGTGTCTAGGATTTATTAAGTTACCTGTATTTTACCAGGAAGTGCCACTGAGATAGTGTCAATCCATCCAATTTACAAGAGAGATGGGATCATACAAAATGTTTGTATTTTATTGTATAAAATACAACATACGCATCATAAAATACAAAATCTACAGTATAACAAACAATATACTAATATCCACCACAACCACATTAAAAAAGTTCATCCACATCTCATTAACTGTTTCCTATAATTCAACAATAGATATACGCGTCAAAGTTTAACCCTTTCTGCAAACTAGTCTATGCCACAGTGCGTAGTACAAAAACACAGCTTTCACCAGGTCTGTCAAAATCCTCGGCACGTCTAAAAGCAGCTGTTAGTGGCACATAGCTGGTAACTATTGGTACTTGGACAGAAATGGGTACAAAGTACAAACTGGGAGTTTACCCAGTATCGTTACCTACCATAGAGAATGCAGCGGCGATTCGGAGACTTTGCAATAAATTGTAGAGAAGTGTGGTACGCTGAAACAAGAATCTGTAAACCCGAGGAGGTGGCGAGCAGTACAGTACATCACTATAATAAATCATAGAAAGAAAAGCTACTTGCGCCCATTTTTTCTTAGAAGAAACTGCAAAGTAATTTTTATTCATCAAATAAAAACCTTCGCTCTGAGCTTCCTGGAAAGATTAGCAATGTGCGCATTATAAAAAGCTTGTCATTTACCCATACACCCAAACACTTGTATGTGTCGGATATAACAGTGGTTAAAATCATCAAACCGCTGTTAGCGAGCTTTTCAGAAGACCAGAAACAATGTTTTGTAAATGTTTCTCATACCTGTCCACAGCACAATGCCGTTTTCTGTCCAGGGCACTTATCATGTGAGCACAATAGTTTTCATTTGTAAAGTAATATTGTTGCACCCAGGCGTGCATGGGATAATGATGTTTGTTTTTGTATATGGTCATGTGAAAATGAAACTTTTCATGGGACCTGAATAAAAGCTGACGTTTTGTCAGTTTGTTGGTCCGGTGCATGTAATCCTCCCCGGACTGGAGGTCTCATCAAATTCACTCCTAGGTCAAACTGTGCAACGCTCAGAGAAATTGCAAAAAACCCAAGAGCCACATCTCAGGGTCTACAGGCCTCAGTTAGCATGTTAAATGTTTAAATGTTTAAATGTTTATAACTGTACAGTTTTTAAAAAGCGTAAATTGAATAACTTGTTTGGAAAACGTGCCAAAAGAAAGAATCTTCTCCCTAGAAAGAACACGGCTGCTCAGTTTAGGTTTGCAAAATTGGATCTGAAGCAAGTTACAAGACTTCTGGAATCTTTTGGGCATGTGAGACCAAAGCACAGATGTTTGACAAAATGCACAGCAGCATGTTTGACAAAAATAAACAACCCAAAAAACAAAAACGCAGCATATTAGCAGAAACACCCCATACAAACTGTCAAACATAGAGGGTGGAGGTGTGATGATTTGTGCTTATTTTTGCAGCTACAGGACCTGGGGACTTTACACTCATTGACGTGACTGTAAACTCCTTTATATATCAAATTATTTTAGAGACAAACGTGAGGTCATCTGTCCAACAGCAACAGTTTTGCTGAAAAGCAGGTCATGCAACAGGCCAGTAGAAAAGCTGAAAAAACAACCCCAAAAAGAAGATAATCAAGATGGTGCAATAGCCCAATGAAAATCCAGACCACAACTCTAATTGAAATGTCCTGGCTGTGGCAAGAGCTGTATATAAATGAATGCCCACAAACCTCAATGAACCTAAAGCTTTTGTAAAGAAGAGTGAGGCACAATTCTTCCCCACCAGTGTGAGAGACTGATAAACTATACATACATACAGGAACTTGAAGTTATTGCTGCTAAAAGTGGCTCTAGAAGCTGTTGAATCATGGGGTGTGAAAAAGAAACTGCTGTGAATAATTAGCCGACTGTGAAAAATCTTTTTCACATAACTGTATTTGTCATGAAGCGATCCTTTTGTTTCTGAGCTTCATATAACAGGTGAATGTATCCCTCTTATGTTGGGCTCACACAGCACAGTGTAATCTCAAATAGGCTGACCAATAAAACCATTAACTTGCTAATATGCATGAATAAAAATAAGTCCAGGTTCTACAATATCTCCGTCTTTTCACATGCAGTTCATCTGATACACAGAAATGTGTCACCACAGCTTGTTGGCTTAATCACTTTCCTCCACTACCTCCAGGCCACGGCCACAAGTCTGTGTCAATAAGAAGGCTTTAAAGGTGACAATGAAGAAATCAAGAATTCAGACTTCGTCTATGATGTGATCCATGCTTGAGAACTCACTACAGAATGCTTCCTAATGCGAAATACAGTTCACCTACATGCTTCTGCAAGGGCCTCAATTCAATTAAACCCCAGGCCCTTTCATGCATTTCATTCCTTCTTAGAAAGGCCAAAAATAAATCTTAAAAAAAGACTGTTGATCTTAATTACATGTAAATATTAATAATTTTATGTCTCTGTTGTTCCTTCAGTCTTTGCAGATGGTGAGTGGCCTCCTCAGCATCGGAGTGGGAATAGTTTTTGCAGCAACCCAGGAGATCCATGAGTCGCTTTTCTCTCTGTTCAGAGTTTCCCAACTGAGCGGCTCGCTGGTACATCTCCGCTCAAACAGAAAATTCCGTACTAAGTAGAGAAGACTAATTTCTGGTACTTTCTAAACTCTATTTTCCTCCTTTGCAGTTCATAATCGCCGGAATTGTTTCCAACCTGTTGTTCAAATACCCAGCATTGCTTAGTGTGAGTAAAACCCAGCACAAGTCTGACAGAAAATACAGCAACAGATGGTGAATGTCATAATTAGTTTAAAGAATACTGTGTTTTTGTTGTTGTTTTTTTACAGGTGTGCCTCACAGTAAACGGCGGCTGCATTATTGTGGCCTTTCTTGCAGTTCTTCTGATAAGCGTCGACCTGGCCAAGTGGGATCCACAAAATGAAGATCATCTGAGGGTAAGACACGTTATAAATATGACAAAACAAACTGTTCCTTTATATTTTTGTAAAAGAAATGTAATGTTTTTATTTGTTTGTTTCTAGCAGATGGAGATACTGGAGCTTTGTGTACTGGGGCTTGAAGTTTCCCTCTCTGCAGTCCTCTGCTTCTGGTTCTCCAAAGAGAAACGTGCAAAAAACAAATAATCAAACTGATGAAATTTGCTGAGAAGAAAGTGAGGATCAATAATACTATACTGTAAATAAAGTGTTTGAATGAAGAGGAATAGGGAACAATATATTTATGCTTAAAAGAAGTTAAGTGATGCAAACCTTTAGCGTTTTCTATAGTCTGAGTGTGGCTTTCAGTTTTGTCTCAATTGTCTATACTGGAGTACAAACCCCCGCTGCACAGCCTGGGCTGTGGTCTGTGTGTAAAGACTGACTCGGACTGAGAACACAGGACTTGTGGTAAACGAGTGTCAGCTTCTCTCATGTGCAGGAAAAACCACTTTTTTTTTCTACTCAGCCCCTGCATCTCTTTGTTTAACGGTAGTGCTGAGTCTCTTAGTTCACTTCTGTATATTTGCAAGGGTCTCTCTGTGTGTGGTTTTTACACTCATACTTTTTTATCAGTGGAAATATCGGTTGCATGTTTTTGCGTGCACTCACACTTTTGAGATGTTTTCACGCACTGAGCGTTTTGCTCAACTTTGAAGACTTTTGTGTGTAAAAGAACAGCTTCCCCCAGTGTAACAACAAATACAACCACGTGTTTAAAACATTTTAATCTTCTGTACAAGGACTGACTGCAAGAGAAGTGCGACAGTACAACATTGTCGGGATTGGTCAGCTATGTTTTGTTTTGTAAAATACATCTACAGTATAAACACATGGCTAGCTTACAAAAAAAATGTACAGACCTCTGACGTACCATCACGACAGCGTATATTATGTGTCAGTTATACATTTACAGTATTGTAACGAAATGTCATGTAATAAGTTGCATTTTAGTCATTAAAGTTGTAGTGCTGTGAAGCTTTAATCCGCTTATCTTTCCCGTCTCCTCGCCGTGAAGTACAAGCTGCTGCCTCCTGCAGACCTCAAAGCTGCAAAGAAATGCAAAAGGAAAAATGTTAAAAGACGTTTAAAAAATACGTTTTTTAAAAAATATGATGCAATCAGAAGGGTTTAAGTTAAGTAAACATGCAGCATTAAGCATGTCAGTCAAGAAAACGCTCCCAATACACCTTTTAATAAAGCAAAACCACATCGCGTGCTAGATGAACACCTGTCAGCTGTAAAATGCTTAGTGATTTTAAGGCATCAGGGCTTCACACAACATCAGGAAGGTGAGCAAAATGTAGACAAAACTGTGCACTGTGTAAAAAAACAACCAAAACAACACAACCTTTAGCAGTCGAAATAAAGTTGCCAGCTTTTTTTTTTTATTAAACGTTTTATTTGTGTGGCATTTAAATCAAAAACATTCTGAATAGGTTTTTTAACCTGTAATGTTGATTAAATGTATTAAAGTTGGACAGAAAGTACATGAGTGATTTATTTATTTGTCACAACGCATACCTTTAATATGCTTAAAGGTAGAGGGATCATAAAAAGCTTTTACCTATCAGGATACCCAGTTCTTACCAGCTTTTAAAAGATATAAATAAATAAACTGTGTTATTATCTATGCAGTCAAAATGCAGAAGCAGCGTGTAAAAAATGAAGTACGGTGCACCATTCAGGAGGCTGTATAACCACTTTTAGCAACAGTAACTGGAAGTTATGGTTTTCTGTGTGACCTTATCATTTCCTCACACAACTGTGAAGAAACCTTGGTCTTTACTACTACAGTGCTTCACATTACTGAGGTTTGTATTTGCTTATCTGCTGCGCTCTTAACTTCAAGAACTGGACGTTGACTGGACGGCAGAACCATGATTCTGCTGTACTCTGTATCGTCCTGCAGCATAACCCAATTTGGGCCAAGCTTTAGCTGTTGGAGAGGTGGCCTCACATTTGATGCTAGAATACTTTTGTATAAAGAGAAGTTCACGGTCAACTCTGTGATTGCAAGGTGCCCAGGTTCTGTGTTTGAAAAACAGGCCCCAAATCATCACTCCTCCTCCTCTGCGCTTGACAGTTTTGAGGTGTTTTGAGGTGTTTGTGGTGATATGCTGTGTTTGCTTTTTACCAAACATGGTGCTGTTCATAACTGCCAAACATCTCCAGTTTCACCCTCTTTCTAATTATACTGTCACACACTTAACATGTGAAGTTACATGTGTAGCGTCTGAGATGTAGCTCTGCGCATCGAACGGTCCGACCGCAGCAATTTGCTGGGAACGTTTGGCAAATGCCTTGTGCGTTACATTTGAGAATAAAAGGTTCTCTAGTTTGTAAAGAATAACTTTAAATTGTTTGGAAAATGACCCTGAAACCCTACCTACACCTGAATGCTCCAAACCTGCACAATTCCCAGACTTTTTCTTTGATCGAGGTTCTCACGCTTGCTGAAGATCAACAGCGCCTGGCTGTTACTTACGCTCTTCATACTTAATTCTTCACACGCTGCTTCTGCATTTTGCTTAGTTTGGTGTTACATAAACATCGATAGGGTGTCATTTAAATAACCTTTAGAGCCACTAAGGACAAGATTATCTTAGAATTTAAAGAGCCTGTGCTGTCTTTTTTTTTTTTTTAACATAAATATATTACGTCTACACGTTAATACTGCCAGCTGCACTGGCTATTTTATAAATGCCTTGTTTTTCAAAAAATTAAATTTCCTCTACTTTTTGAGCTAAAAATCAGCAAGGTTATTAAAAATGCAAAACTCACACAGATGCTATACAAAAAAAAAACACTCTTAAAACATAACATGCATGTGTTCAAGCATGCACGATCTCAATAACACGTGTTTTTATTATGATACGCGCTTCACCCTCATGCCAAAGAAGGTAGTGAAACATGAAAAAGAGCCAAACCACCCATCAGAAGGACAGCCCACTAAACCCAGTAAACCCATCAGGACAAACTCCCACAGAGCACACAACACAAAAGATGTTTTTTTCACACAGATTAGTATTCAGGCCACGGCTACATCCTCACAGTTGTTAATGAGGTTGTGAAGGGAACATTACAGATGTCCACCCCTGTGACATCGGTTACTTACTGAGCTAAAACCCCTCAGCTCTGAGTCAGACCAATGTAGACAGGCCTACTGCTATATGAGAGGTCTTGCTCTGGTAAAAACAAAAGAGCAAAAAGTAGTGAGTGAAACTATAGAAGCAACTACTTCTGCTTTAAGACATCCACCTTAAAAATAACATTTAAATAATCAGTTCCCCTTTACAGGACACTCGGCTTCATTAGTATAGCTGTCTAATAAGGAGTGTGCGCTTCGTAGCTAAAGATCCAGGTGTAGATAACGTGATGAAAACATATATATTTTCAAGAAAAGACCTTAAAAGGTTTGCAGATGATGGACGGCCCGCTCTATGTGAAGTGCAGTATTATGTAAAGTAAAATTATAAGTAAATTATGTTTCCAGCTTGAAGTTTCTTTAAAAAGTAGTTTTATATTTCTTGTTCAACAGTTTTTAAACTGTTTTTTGAACAGCTGTTCTTTACAATCCTGATGTTGTTGCTGTTTGCAAAAATAAACATTTCAGAGAGACATTTTAGAATAACATGAGCGTAGATGTAAATAACTGCTCATTTCTGCCTCAGCTGTTTTATCTTAAAAACTATAAACTATAATAACAGGCACATATAGCTGCAGCCAATCCAGTCAGTCATGGAGTTTCTTTGCAGAAATTGTTCAAAATGCTTTACAAACGTTGCTTGCTTCATCAAATTACAGCCTTATTTATGCAATTTTTGCCACTAATGTCCAAATGAGTCTGTCGAACTGTCATCACACTTTGGATCGTTTAGTTGTCTCGCGCTCGCGGGCATCGTCTGTGTATTTACGATTCAATAGAAAAGACTG